TCTATTCTGTGAAAATGTATGTTAAAATGAAAAGTTATGCAAATGACTCTCAAAAGGACACTGACCTCCCTTTATTAACCCTTTTACGACTGCAAAATGAACATCCCAATGGGATATTCTCATGCTGAGGTAGGCAGGGGATGGGCCTTGTGCTGGGCATTGCCCTGCAAGAGCTCAGCACTGGGTGGGATCCGCAGCATCACCATCTGCCTGCACTTGGTGTCCCTCGGGACTCGTAGAGAGGGGAAAGCCACTTTGTTTTCCAGCCAGGTTTTTGTTTGCAGGCAGGAGGGACTGTTTGATCTCGCAGCGATGGGAAAAGCTGCTGCGTTCGGATGCGCTTGGAAAGCGCCTGCTTTGGCGGTGGCCCTGATAAGGAGAGCGGTGGCTTTGAAGGCAAAAGGAAGGCTCCAGGGGGGACTCCCCGGGTGTTTGAAGGAGGGGGAACACCTCAGCGGACAACAGCCTGGGCACGGAGCTCAGAATACGCTCTCCAGGTTATCTAAATAGCATATAAATCACTGTCGGGGCTCCATTTCCTCTGACGGGGACCCGTGTAAGTGATTAATAACACGCAAACAGTGGTACTTTGTGGAACTGCAGTAAATTTTATTATGACTTCCTTCCACTTGATAAGCACTTCCATGGAGACAGAGGCGCCCGCTCCCCTCCCATCCGCTGCCCGCACTAGACCCCGAGGTTAGGGAGGGCTCTGGTGCTCCGGCCTGTTTGTGACCAGCTGTAAACCATAGAAAAGAGCATTTTTGCTTTGTTTTGTTGCACTGGATGGAGCCTCTCATCCCCACCGTCTGACCCAGGGTTGCATCTTGCACACCTGCTGGTTTTAAAGTCCCATTAAATGTCAAGCAGTGTGTCAAGCACATAGCGATGTGATGCACAGGGGCTACAGCAAGAAGAAACATTCCTTATGATAGACAGATGGAGAAAGGCATTAATTGTCAGTGTTTGGGAAGCAATAAGAGTGATTGCTGACCACTCACCACTTTGCCCCATTGTCTTGAGGATTCACCCTTAACATTTACAAATAAACATGGGTTTGCATGTGGGATGCTATGATCTTTTCATGTTACTCTATTTATTTCAAGTGCGAGTGGAGGTTTCTGGCAGGTGAATGCATAGGGAGCAGTAAGCCCAGAACAGGATAGGGTAGATGCTCACTGGTCTGCAACATGGTGCTTGGTTTTTGTTGCAGTGGGGTTTTAATTTCCTATTGCTTTATATCACTAATAAAGGATTTTCAATGCTAAGTACAGGAAGGTAGAAATCTCTGCCTGGCTCACCCCCAGTCTGAATGAAGGGTTTCTCCCCAGTGAGGTCTGTACAGGCATATTTAAATACATGTGGGGAGATGCACAATGGGTCTAAAGATGTAAACTGTTGGGAAAATCACACAATCCCAAACTGGTTTGGGTTGGAAGGGACCTTAAAGCTCATCCAATTCCAACCCCTGCCATGGGCAGGGACACCTTCCACTAGAGCAGCTTGCTCCAAGCCCCTGTGTCCAACCTGGCCTTGAGCACTGCCAGGGATGGGGCAGCCACAGCTTCTCTGGGCACCCTGTGCCAGCGCCTCAGCACCCTCACAGGGAAGAGCTTCTGCCTAAGAGCTCATCTCGGTCTCCCCTCTGGCAGGTTCAAGCCATTCCCCTTGTCCCATCACTGCAGGCCCTTGTAAAAAGCCCCTCTGCAGATTTCTTGTTGGCCCCTTTAGGCACTGGAGTTGCTCTAATGTCTCCCCTTAAGGAACCTACTCTTCTCCAGGCTGAACAAGCCCAGCTCTCTCAGCCTCTCTTCGCTGAGCAACCCGTGGATTGGATATGTCATGTGAGTTCTGGGCTTTGATTTTGGTCCTCGCACACATTGTTTATAAAATGATGCTGGTTTTGTTTCCTAGGTTTTACTGCACTACACGCGGGAAAGGAGCAAGATGCAAACTGTGCGACAGGAGAAGGCTGCAGGGAAGAGCTGAGCCCCATTTAGTCTCTCTGTTGAGACCCAAACCCAAAAGTATGGTTGAATGCCACTGGAAGAGGCATTCATGTGTGGAGCTGGGGGGTTGCTTTGCCTTTTGGGATAGCTGGGGGAACTCACAGCAGAGTTTAGGAAAGATTCAAGTGAAGGATGGCCCAGATGCTGCTGAGGTTTGGAGGTGACCCTGAGCAGGCATCCAGGACAGATACAGCCCCTGTACCCCAACTTAACGCTGTGTGGTCCATGAATGAACTTTTTCCCCCCTTTTCTTCTTGGCTAAGCACAAGTGAGCTGCTTGCTCTGGTGTGTGCAGATGGCTGCTCTTGCCTGGCATGGTGCCATGGGGATGCATTGCAATAACGTCTATTTTATAGGAAGGGAAAAAGCCTCTGGAGAAACAAAGCTTTGAAGCATTCAATTTGTAATGGTGCAACGCTGGCAGCGAAAGCTGTGAATGAAAACTTGTGGGATGCTGAATGAGCCAGTTAATCTCGATGGGTTTCCTTATGTTTTTTTCCTTGTAGGCATTGAGTGTAGGTTGAATTTTCTCCTGACAGCCAAATGCTGGGCTGACTGCAGAGCAGCATCTGTGTGCCCACACTTCGGAGCTCTTGGAAATCCTGGCTGTGAATGAATAAAATGCAAACAAAGCAGCAAGGCATTTTTGTTATTCCTAGAGCAAATCCAAGTGGTTTATACGAGATAGAATAGCAAAGCAAACAGCACCTTCTTTTGGATCCTATTCTGAGCGTGGCTCCTGGCTGCAATGGGAACACGTCTGCTGGAGGTTGTGCTTGGGCATCCTTGTCCTTCAGGAAGCCAGGTACCTGCTCAAGGACCACACTGCAATGAGCTCTGTCACTGTGGGGCCCGTGTGGAACCAGAGCTGTCACCAGCAGTGAGTTGGTGGCACTGTTCACTGTCAGTTTATCAGTGAGTGTGAGGCCTTCAAGGGGTTGTGATTGATGTTTTCCAAGCTGAGCTTCCCAAGAATCCTGCTTTTTCCTTCTTTTTTCTTTCTTTTTTTTCCTGAGGCTGATTAAGTGTGAAAGAAGTTTGGAATAAAAATCTTTCCACCCCAACATCAGAGATCTTATATATCAAAGCAGCACGGGTGGAATAGAAATAGGGGAGGTTGGGAGGATGCAGCCATGGTCAGGGAAATGGCATACTGGCACGGGTGGGATTCCCATCTCAGATACGGTGTCAAGGAAAAATGAAAAGCTTCAGAGGAAGAAAATGATTTGAAATAAAAAGTAGGGAATAAATGGGGCTTAACTGGAGGTTCAAAGGAAGCCCCAGGTTTCTTACAGCATGCAGCAATTGTAAGGGATGATATGGTCTTTCTTCCTGTTGCCTCTATGTACATGGAATTATGAGTGCTCGGACTAATAAAGCTCTGGCAAGAGCGATTCCTACCGCAGTCCAAGCCACAAATACATTTCAGGGAAAAGGTAGAATAGATATTTTTAACCAAAAAAAAAAAAGATATTCCCAGAAAATACTGGGGAATTTTCAGTAAGTTTCCTAAATGCTTTTGTGAAGCCTTCAAAGGTTTTGTGGGCTTTTATCCTCCCATGCCAACCTTCACCCGGCTGAAGAGACAGCAGCGTTTCTGATAGAGCTCTCACTCAAGTGCGTTCTCGGGAAGTCAACCACAAAGAGCTGTTACAGAGCAGATTTCCTTGGATGGTTTTACACTGAATTACTCAACCCCCCCACCACAAAATATTGAAGAATCTGCTGAAACCAGAAGAGAAGAAGGAGTCTGAAGGATCACGAAGAAACAAGTATCTGCCGTCCCACAAAAAAGGCTTTCCTGTCTGCGAGCCAGAAAGGTTTGTGTCCTAATATATTCTGACACAGAACAAAGCAAGGGAGTGAAAAGCAAGTGGCTGCCAGATCTGTCTGTTGCTTGTCCACGTGGAAATTCAGCCCTCCTTTTGGGGTTAGTTTTTATTCCCTATGTTCAACGGTGGGACTTTAGTCAGCATGGCCAGGGGACAACCCGCTTCTCCATGGGCCTCTACTGCAGCCCCTACCTGGCCATGGGGATGGAGAAGGGAAAGGATTGGGTTGTTTTCCAGGCAGGGGTGGGATTGGAAAACATTGATGTGTGAGGAATGCATGACCTCTCCCCAACTCCTGCTTAATATATCCACCACACTTTGGGGTTTAAAATCAAACCTCTTCACGCTTTCGCTGTTACTGTGGGCTTTCTGTAGATGCTCTTTTATATTGCATCGCATCACTTATATCAAAACCAGATCAGAAAGAGTTCTCCTTGGCCCTTTTTTCCTGGTTTTATGACTGTTTGTGAATTTCAAAGCACTTCAGGATTACACAGGGAGGGGGGAAATGGTACTTGAGGCCTTCATCTAAACTGGATTCATTTCTGTCACCAAAATGCATTAAGCAAATAATAAATAAAGCACAAACTAACTCCAGGCAAGACAGCTGGATGTGATAGTTGAGCTTTGGATGGTGCTGGCCATGCTGAGGCTTTGCAGTGTATCTTGAGTGGGTAAAATGTAGATGGTGATGAATAAAATCTGCTTTTCACACAAGCACCATGTTTGCTTGCTTACATGGACCTTGTGAAACACTTCAGTCTCTCCTCTAAGGGAAAGTGCTCATGCATCCAGTTGTGTCTTCAGAAAGGCCTGTGTTTACTGGAGAGGGAAGTTGATAGCTCAGTGTTAGCTTGGTAGAAGAAGAGGTGTGAGAAGACAGACAACCATTTATATTTGCTCTATGAAGTCCCCTTCTGTGGGATAAATGAGAATAAAATGAATTAAAACCCTTGCAAAGGCTGAGCCATCTCTATCCCTTCGGATTTGCACTCCTACCTGGAAGCATCAGAGCTTTGTGTGCCTTAAACCATGACAACCCTTAACTGAACCAAGGGTTTTAGGTAATGTGTAAGCAACTCCCAATATACAATTTTACCCTAGAAATGCCAAAAGAATTTTGAAAACCTCGAAGAAAAATGTGATTTTTCCCCAAATTGTTTTTTCCCCAAATCTCTGCAATCTGAGCAGTGACTCACCCCCCAGCTGGTGTGAATCAGCACTGGGCTAACGAGCACAGAGCAACCATGCTCATTTATGTCTCTGCCAGCACAGCCTACCTTTCTGGTGCCCCAGTACCAGAGCCACCAGTAGCTCCAGCTCATGCATTCTCCCTGAAGGCCACCAAGGATGGGTTTGCTCAGGATACAGCAGGGACTTCCAGGTAATGCAGTTTCTCCATTTCTTCATTTGGCTTAGAGGCAGCTTATATCTGATCACAATACCTAATAGAGTGTTTTGGGTCTTCCATGGCAGGGGGGTTGCAACAAGATGTTCTTTAAGATCCTTTCCAGACCATTCTGTGGTGATTCTGTGGTTGGGATGTTTTGATGCTGGTGCTTATTGGGATGTTTTGATGCTGTTTTCTGCCTTTGCAATTTGTTTCGTGTTACCTGTTGTATACATGGTTGCTCTATAATGATTTGGGGGTTTCTTTGCTGATCGTGGCAGTCACATGGGCTTTGTGACTGTGAATCATTATGAAGCACTGACCTCTTGTTTCTTCAGTCCCTTTGGAGCGATGTCTGGAGATAGTAACTCAGTAATAAGCAACATGTGCAAAGTGAGGCTCAGGTGCTAGGAAGGGAGCCTTGGGTTTGAAAAGCCCTGGCATAGCTTGGTCTGTTTGGATAAACCTAGCGGTTTGGACAGTCCAACAACATCCATATGCAATGGTTTTTCTTGATTCACAATGTTGAAACTAAAAACCGCTTGGCTTTAAACTTTAAGCCTCTGCATGCATTCCCCTGAGAATGAGCATTTCTGGCAAACTCTAAGTTCTTAAATATCACTTCTCCAATTACATTCTCACAGGTTAGTATTTATGCAGGCCTGGCTTTTCAAATCCACGGAGTTGGTACTGGGCTGAGGCTTAATGCATTACAGGTGGCTTTTGGTGCTTTGGGCTCTCTGACCAAACTGGTTCCAGATGGCCACACAGTATGAGTAATAACATCAGCTCATTAAGTTGCAAGGTTTCAACTACAATCACAGAATTATCAATGAAATAAAAGCTAACGGCGTATCAGCTGCACCCTAAGCCATAAATAGGATTTACAGTGAAACAAAAACCTTGTTTTGAACTCGGGTCTCTCATCATTTCGATACTGGGTATCCACAGAGTAGGTTTATTCACTAGCAAAAGGGCAAAAATCTGCCCTCATGCTCTCCAAAATATACTCCTGAAGGCTACTGCACCATGGGCCTGTGATTTCCCTGATTTTGGGAAAGCTTTTGATTGGGGTCATGGAAAATGCATGGCAGTATTTATCTGTGATGACTTAGAAAATAACTGCAATGAGCCTAGGTCTCGGATCAAAGGGATAAGTGTCAGAAGGCCTCATTACCTTGTGTTTCATGTTATGGTTGCTAATGTTGTTCTTTGTACAAGTTGTTATCTGTCTGTAGTGTGTATATCATGTCCAGCAGGATGGCTCTTGTAGGGTGCACAGGTGGCTTCTGCTACTTCAGAGCCTGTATTGAGTGTTTTGTTGGTGTAGGTGTCTCTTCTGTTCAGAATCACCATGGGGAAACATGCCCCCAAGCTTCTAGGGTAGCTGGGGTGATGGAGATCCGGGGTCTTGGCTGTCAAGGGGTGACTTCTGCATATAGAATGTAAGCAGAATGGAAAAACATACACAAACTAAGTGATGCCTCTTTGAATTCGCATGGTCTTTGAGCCAAGCAGGAGGTGTTAGTACACAAATACAGCAGCTGAAGTAGATCATTCTTTAAGTTCTTGACTCTAACACCTCTGACTTCTGGGTGACTTGGTAAAACCGCTTTCTTCAATCCCCAAAACATGAGTGCAGCAAACAGCACCAGGTGCCCCATCAGCCTCACTGGTTTCAGTGGGGCTCCTCATGCATGTGAAGTGATGTGGGTGGGTGAGTGTCTGCAAAATGCTGGCCAGGCTGGAGCTGCAATGTGTGGTGTGGTAGTGAGCTGAGACCCTCTGCCATGGCATGGGCTGGGTGATGCTGATGGGGGAATAGAGGAGAGGTCTTTATGGTCCTTCTTGCCCTGTCTTGAAATCAGGACTTCATTAGTGGTAAAAACCTAACTGACTTGAAGAAAATGCATTAAAGATACCTTGCTCCAAAGCATGTGACACTGTATCTTGTATGTTGTGGTATAAATTGTACCAGAATTATGAATAAGGAATGTTTGCAACCCAGCTAAAACCACAAGCCATTCTTCTGTGCCCTTCCATACCAGGACCCAGAAAACCAATGTACTAGAAGCATGAAGCTATTTTGCTTCTAGCCATGTTTTGTGAAACCTAAGTGAGGAAAATGGGTTTCCCAAGTTTGTGGGAAGCCAGGAGAAGCTTTATATGACCCTAGTCTGATCCTAAAGGTCCTGGTTGTGGTTAAAGCCTGGATCTAGTGTGCTGAGTCATGCTGATAACCAGTGCAATGATGTGCTTTGTTACTACTCCATGTGAATAAGAGACTCTCGGCATCAGTCCCTTGATAATTAGGCATGTCTTGTTTAGATTTATCCTACCTGCTTAGCCTCCCTAGCTGCAATTCTGTTGTAAGGGCAAGCAAAGTTTACATCTATTTCTACCCCAAGGGTTGTTTATGGCAGCAGCATCGCGTTTGGGTCATGTGGTAGTTCAAGCATTACGGTGTTAGGGAAGGTGAGTACATCTATAGTGTCCTCCTAGTTGGGATTTAATTATCTACATAAGTCATCCTGTAGGTAGTTCTCTCTCCATCCTGTAATTCCAAGGGTCTCACAGATGTGCAGTATCACTGTTTCCAGATGTTGACGGCCTTTTCAGAGTACTGGGCACTGGCCCAAGGAGGGATTTGGTATTGGGGAATTCTGGCACCAGCTGTTTCTCCAGCAATGTGTACACCGAGGAAATTATTGTGTGCGAGTGTAATGCAGAGACACCACTGGAGGCTGAGCTTAAATCCCCAGGCAGGCACAGTATTGATCAAAAGCCAGGGCTGGGGGCAAGCACAGACAAAGGTAATGCTGTGATTTAGTGGGCTGGGGTGATTTCTGTTTCAGGCCACCACTGTCCTTTGTGCTTTTTGGGTTATAGTGCCTCCAGTATCACTCTTCCACAAGGAACAGGTTTTCAGTAAGCTGCTTGGTGTTACTGTGAGTTTTGAGGGCCATACCCAGGCCTTCCGCTTTGGACACATAACCTGGATGATGCAATGTGTAAATCACAGGCTTCTGTCTTATCAGGGTGATCCTGCCCAGGTTAAGACCTGTCTTCCCTGTGCACACACATCACAGATGGAAAGAGAAGAGAGCAACCCAGGAGACCTAACCCACGATGAGCTTCTTGCCCGCCTTTCCATGGGGTGATGAGTCAGGGATGGATGTGCTGAGCTGGGAACTGCCTTCTACCAGGCACTGTAAAACTGGGGCAAAGTCCATAACGGGACCCTCCATCCTTGGGTTTTGGGTTGGTTTGGGGTTTTTTTTAAGGTAGGATATGCCCTGACAAAGGAAGAACAACATGTGAATGCAGCTTGCCCACTGACCCGACACTCTGCTGGCCATGTGTCAGCAGTAAATCCCCAGCTTTTGTGGGGAGAGATTGCTACCCACCTCTACCATTGTGTGCCATGGGGTCCTGTGAGGGAGCCCTAGACAGGGTGACTGCCTCTCCTCCAGGGTCAGCATCCTACTTGGGGTCTTTGCTCTATATAACCAAGGTTTGGGGCCTGAGTGGATGGTCTCCAGCCCATCCTTCTCTTAGATGGTTGCTATAAGCAGTGGGCACATGAGCATGGGTCTCGGCACCAGGAGCCAGTGCTGAGACCCAAGCTCACGTGCCAAGCAGAGCATCGCTAGAGGAAGCCTGTGTGCAGCATGAGGAATGCCAGACCTACCCGCTGTCTCCAGATCTGTCTCCCCAGCCAGGCTCTGGATCTTATTTGGATGCAGGGAGATTTATAAGGCATTCTCTTAATTAGGGGCCCCTGTTTTGACTAAGAAAGATGGGGAATGAGGAGACCTAACAGCAAGGCAATGGCAAACAGCGGACTGAAAGCAAAGGCTAGGGAGACCAGTGGCATGTGCTGTACAGAAGTAGAGGCAATAAAATACACCCATAAAAATGATGTGTACGCCTGTAGCCTCATCTAAGAAGGAGGAACAACAGCGTGTCCCTTCTAAGGGCAAACGAGAAACCCTTCCATATGTAAGCAATTATCAGGAACACATGGGAGAGGTGGACAGGGCAGAGAAATCCAAAAGCCATATGATATTGCACAGAAGAGTGAGGCTCGTGTAAAGCCTGGGAGTCCATATATTTCACAGCTCACCATGTACGGAGACTTTGGCCTGCTCCAAAGGCTGCAACTGGGAAGGCTCCTCTTGTTTTGGCCTTGAGGCCTGTGCACAGATGGCAAAAGCTCAGGAAGGAGTGCTGGGTTGAAGGGGTTGGCATGAAGAGGAGAGTCAGAGCCCTGCTTGGCTTTCTTGTGTGCTTTGCTTTATGAACACTTTGCAGCTGGTCTATGCCACAGCAGCACTTAGCTGTGGTACTGGGTGCTGCTGGTTCTGTACTTTGGGGCATCTGTGCTTTAGTCTCAGTTTTGAAGTGTGGACTTGTTCTTATCGCCTTTAAACTTGCTATCAATGTAGTGGCAGGATGATGCTCACTGCAAGGATGGGAGTCCCAGAGGCATTGCATCCAACTTTCTACTTTTGTGCAAAGAACAAAGAGCATCTCGGTGTGTTCACATCACTGCAAGGACTGTGGTGTGGTCTAGATCTTCCTGAGCTGCTTTCATGCTACCTGGCCATGTACTGCTGCTCTGAAGGCTACAGCAGCCTGGAGCTCAAGGTGTTATCCAGCTTCTGTGCAGAACTTCTATGCTGTGGACTTCATGGTGCTTGGAAGTATGAGAAAGATCCTTTTTGCTGGGGCCAAGCCCTGTGGTGTGTGAGATTAGCTCAGTTGAGCACATTTGGTATCTGCAACTCATCTGAACCCATTCTTTGACCTGCTTTGTGTCCACTGGTAAAGAAGATGCTGTGAACTCAATGCCTGTCATCAGCTTACTGATTTGGGTGCATTTAACTTGTCTCCAAAGCAGCAGTTAACCACTTGGCACACATGCCCAAACTCCAGTCTGTCTCATGTGCCCCAGATGAGGCTAATATGTGGGTTGCTGCTTTCCAAATGTC